ACAGGCGCCCGCCACAACGCCTGGCTATTTTTTGGTTGCAGCTGCCATTGTTGTTTGGCGGGTCCGGGCTGGGGATTCGAACCGGCCACCTTAGGTGTACGTGGCTGGCGCCTTAGCCGGTTGAGCTATAGGCGCCGAGCCTTCACATCTCTTTAATAGGAAAGCACCGTGGTAAAATAGAGTCAGTGTCCTGTAGAGGAAATGCCACACAATGGTGTATATTCTGCCCTACTACTGAGCCTTTACAAAATAACCAAGACAAGTCCAAGAACAGGAAACAGAAATCCCTTCTTAGTTCAAGAAGTAAGCAAACTGGTGAGTTCAGTTTTTTTTTAGCTATCTTCTCCTTTCCTTCCTACCAGCATAGACCCCATCTCTCCCTTCAGTGGAAATGTTTTGGAAGCCATTGTAAGGACTACTAATCCAATACTAGTTTTTCCTGAAGTCTCAAATCAATCCATGAGGAAAATGCCTCAATATGCTGAACTAAAATTTTGAGACCAAATGCTTAATACAGTGTAACTTAAAATTACTAAGCAACAAACTAAAAGCAACCACTGCAACAACTTTTGCTGAATTTGGTGCATTGTTACACATTGAGATATGTGTAACAAACGGAGATGTATGTAGAAGGCCTAGAAAACTCGTAAGCTATACTCTTAAGTTTTAAATATTACTAGTCCATCTTTTAAAGAGTCTTATTCTCTGTACTGGAAAGTGTGCTATCAGAAGGCAATGCCAGGAATGGCATGTCCAAAATGGGCTGTCAAAGCAGCTATGCTCTGTGACAACTTTTTCCTTCTGTGGCACAACAATTATTATGAAGCACCAAATGAAAAAGAGTATTACGCGACTCTTTTAAAAGAACAGCCATACTAGGTATGACAGCCTGACTGTAAACAGTTCGAGCAGAGGAGGTCATCTACCTCTTCCTGAGCTCCACGGATTTCATAGCCTACATCAAGACTGAAGTGAGGTAACTGCAAAGGCATGTCATGAGGAGAAAGAGAAAGAGAACAATCCTCAACTCACCTCTGATAACACCGTAGCGGGTTTTACTACTTCTCTTAGAAGAGAAATGTCCGTGGAGGTGGAGCGGACAGGTCCCCACTTGGGTTGCTTTTGTAGTGCTGATATATTATTGTTCTCTGGACCCTGCAGTTCAGGAAAATCCAACCTTGTAAACTCAAATTCAGGTTTGGAAGGAGATGTACCCTTTGCAATGATTCTGGACTTCCTGTCTGTTCGTTTATGATAACCATCTGTAATCACAGAATTAAAAGCAAGGGTAAAAATTTAGGTAGCATTTGGTGACAGTACTTAAGTTGCAGAGTAGAAAATCTGTTGCTATTTATCTACAGATTGTTGTCAAAACATGTGAACTTTCACTAATGTTGTTAATCTTTTTGCAAAAGCATAAAGCATAAATGACCAGAAGTATCAATCACTCTGGTTAGGCCATCATGCAGAAAAATCAAAAGGCACTAGAAATTTTAGTACAGTCATTGACCACATAACGATATTTGGCCAACAGTGGACTGCATGTAGAATGGTGGTGTCATGGAGCTAAAAATTCCTTATTGCCCAGTGAAATCATAGCCTTTGTAACAAGGCACTGCAATAAACGCCTACTCAGTATTTGTGATCACGCCATGTGAACAACCTACTTCATTGCCAATCATACAAAAGTTGGCATGCACAATCATGTACAGTACACAGACCTGACAACGATAATAAACAACTGTTACCTGTTGATGTATCTACTATACTATTATTTTATCATTCTAGAGTATACTGCTTCTACTTGCAAAAAAAAAACTTTAACTATAAAACAGCCTTTTGCTGTTAGGCCACACATTTCCCTTATTTAAGAAGGTGTTTTGAAGCTTGCAATCATCACCTACAGCAGGTGCTTCAGGAGGGATCGAGAAGAGGGTATTTGTCATCATAGGCGATAACATGAGTATTACTGCCCCCGAAGACCTTCCAGGAGGAAAAGATGTGGAAGCAAGGAAGACAGTGATATTGATGATCCTGCCCCTGTGTAGAACTAGGCCAATGAGTATGTTTTTTGTCCTTGTTTTTAACAAAAGGTTTAAAAAGTTAAAAATATATTTTTTTAATGGAAAAAAGTTTATGTTTATAGAATACGGAAAAGAAAGAATTTTTTTTTTTTGGCCAGGGCTGGGTTTGAACCCACAACCTCCAGTAAACGGGGCTGGCGCCCTACTCCTTGAGTCACAGGCGCCGCCCTGAAAGAATTTTTTTATAGCTATACAATATATTGTGTTTTAAGTTGTTACTGCAAAAGAGCCAAAAGTTAAAAACACTGAAAGTTCTATAAAGCTAAAAACTTTATAGTAAATGAACGTTGATGAACTATTGAAGAAAAAAACTTTAATAAATGTAGAACGGTCTAAGTGTACAGTGTGTATAAACTCTACAGCAGTGTACCGTAATGTCCTAGACCTTCACACTCAGTCCTGCAAGCTCCCTTCATGCTAAGTGCCCTATACAGGTATATACCATTTTTTATCTTTTATACTGTTTTTTTTTTTTTTTTAAGAGACATTCACTATGTTGCTTTTGGTAGAGTGCTGTGGCATTACAGCTCACAGCAACCTCAAACTCTTGGGCTGAAGCAATTCTCTCCCCTCAGCTTCCCAAATAGACGGGACTACAGGCACCTGCCACAATGCCTGGCTATTTTTTTTGTTGTTGTTGTAGTCGTTTAGCTGGCCCAGGCCGGGTTCGAACCTGCCACCCTTGGGGTATGTGGCTGGTGCCATAACCACTGTGCTATGCATGCCAAATCTCATAACATATTTTTAGTGTACCTTTTCTATGTTGAGATACGTTTAAATACATAAATACTTAGCAATGTGTTACAACTTCCTGTAGCGTTCAGTACTGCACGTACTGAAGACCCTAGGACCAATAGGCCACACCATACAGACTAGGTGCACAGTAGGCTATACCATCTAAGTTTGTTTTGCACAATGACAAATTCACCTAATGACACATTTCTCAGAACATATTCCCATCATTAGGCAACACATTACTGTAACTCCAGGCTTAATAAACCTTAACCTGTTTGTGCAGCTGAGAATTTTATTTATTTATTTATTTTGGGAGACAAAGTCTCACTTTATCACCCTCAGTAGAAGTGCTGTGCAATCACCATACCTCACAGCAACCTCAAACTCTTGGCCTCAAGAGATCTTCCTGCCTCAGTCTCCTGAGTAGCTGGGACCACAGGCACCTGGCATGACACCTGGCTATTTTTTTTTTTTTTTCTATTTTCAGTAGAGACAGGGTCTCACTCTGGCTCAGGCAGATCTCAAACTCCTGGGCTAAGGCAATTCACCTGCCTCAGCCTCCTAGAGTGCTAAGATTACAGCATGACCCACCACGCCCAGCCTGCAGCTGGATATTTTAACTGTTTTTCAGAGATGCTGTTTTGTTATGTTGTCCAGACTGGCCCTTAACTCCTGGCCCAAGAGATTCTCCTGTATTAGCCCCCACCCAAAGTACCACGTCTATAGGATCATCATTGAGGTAGGCTGCTGCACCATGAAGCCCCTCACTTAATGGGAAAGCCAGAGTAACTACAATGTACAGTTAATCTTTCCTTCTACCAGACGGTTTATGAGTGAAGTCTTAGGAAAAAGAAGAATTTACATGCCAAGTAATGTAAATTATGTAATGTAAATTGATGAACTACTGAAGAAAAAAACTTTAATAAATGCAGAACAGTCTAAGTGTACAGTGTGTATAAACTCACTGTACACTTACACTGTATACACTTAGACATCCAACTGTCACACACATACCTATTTATATGCCATTAGAACAGGACAAAAAACAAGGTATCATGTAGAATCATTAACTTTTAGCCCCCTGGCTGGAATGACAGTTATTGAGACCAGAGCAGACATGCCTATGGCACCAGTCAAAATGGTGTCCTCTGAGTAACCACAATGAACAGGTTTAGCTATTATTCATGACAGAATTGAAACCACAATTCTCCCACCTATTAAAACTCTCTCAACATAACACCAGAGAAGCTATTTCAGGCATAAATATGGTCAAATATAGTGCAAAGGATATGGCGGTAATACACTTTTACTTAAGGACACATTTTAAAGCCTGTGGCAAATACCTACTTGCTATGTGACCTCAGATAAATTCTCTTCATGTAAAACAAGGTCATGACAGCTTCAGAGTCCACAATGCAACAGGTACCACACTGTAATATCCTCCCTGGGAGGAAAGGTCCCCAGAATTGCAAGGGACACCCGATGCCCTCAGCCCTGTCAGGCTTCCAAGTCTTATTTCTTGGAGGAACCGTGATGAATGCTCTCATAGGAACAGCCCTACAGAGAACAGCAACATTTGTGGGGCAGATGAAGTAGGCTGGCATTATACTAAAGAGTGGATTACTTTTACCTGATTTCAAACTATTCTCGGCATGAATGGACAAATGATGCAAACTTTTAGCTGATTTGATCTCAGATGACAGAGTTCCATCAGCCCCTTTACCATCCAACTTTTGCTCATCGTAAGTTTTCTTCTCATCATAGGTTTTTTTCTGCAGGACAGATTACAACGTGAAATAAGAAATGCTTAAAATAACAAATAATTGAGTATTCACAATTCAATCATTTCAATAAAGATTAAACCAAATCATTAAAAAAAAATTTTTTTTTAAAGAGACAGGTCTCACTATGATGTCCAGGCTGGAGTGCAGTGGCTATTCACAGGCACGATCCCACTACTGATCAGCACAGGAGCTTTGACCTGCTGCTCCGTTTCTGACCTGGGCCAGTTTACCTTTCCTTAGGCAACCTGGTGGGCCCCTGCTCCCAGGAGGTCACCATACTGATACTGAACTTAGAGGTTAAATACCACAAAAAGATATACGATGATTAAATATGGAAAAACTTATTAGAATTCTTCATATTTGGGGCGGTGCTGGTGGCTCAGTGAGTAGGGCACCGGCCCCATATACCGAGGGTGGCAGGTTGAAACCCGGTCCCAGCCAAACTGCAACAAAAAAATAGCCGGGCGTTGTGGCGGGTGCCTATAGTCCCAGCTACTCGGGAGGTTGAGGCAAGAGAATCACCTAAGCCCAAGAGCTGGAGGTTGCTGTGAGCTGTGGTGCCACTGTACTCTACCGAGGGTGACAAAGTGAGACTCTGTCTCTTAACAAAAAAAAAAAAAAAGAAAGAATTCTTCATATTTTAAACACTAAAGCAACCAAATCAAAAGCATACTGAAACCATAGCATTTACTTACCTTAAGCAGAGCTTTCATTTCTTGTGGGAGAGGGCACATATGCTCACTTCGGTGTTTCACTGTTTGAAAACCCCGGTAACAACTGGGTTGGTTATAATCATACTGGGAGCCAGGCACTGAGCAAACATTTTGTGTGGCATCAAGGGTGTAGGGAGAATAGGCGTACGGATGAAGAGTCACCTCAGAAGATAAATATTGAGGTGGGAAAGCTGAAGCTCCAAAGCCCATATCTTCAGTATATATTTTATGCCTAAATAAAAGGGTAAATTTTAGTTGCAGATTTCATTTGCAAATCCCAAAACTTAATACTTTGTAATGAACTAATTCACACTTTTTAATATTTATTATTTTTGAGATCATTCACCTTAGCACTGAAATGTCCTTCATCAAAAGCCAACTAAATCCTCTAAGTGTTTCTTTCTCTCCTTGCAAAGAAAGTTGCTGAGCTGTTTCTGTTTTTTTCCCTAATGAGCCAGAGACATCAACAGACTCTCTCCTGTGGTCAAGTATTTAGGAAAGCATCTCTCAGCAATCCTGGCCAACACTGTCCTAAAGACAACCCTTTTCTCTGAGAGGGTGCCCAAGAGCCTACAGCACCTCCCTCTAGGGGCCCATGGGGCCTGAAGTCTTCTCTAGCCCTTTGCTGCTCCAAGCCCACCACAACATCCCATGCTACACTGATTCTCAATGCGAGAGAGTGAAGGGGACACGACAAGACACTGCGTCTGGGAACTACACACTCTACTGACAAGAAAAATGCCATCTTTGAAAACTGCTAGTGCCTCAATCTGCTGTACAAGACTAAACCAAAATATTATTTAACACTTACTTTTAAGCAACTTTGATATAGACTAGAGATTTCAACAATTTTCCAGTGAAAGTTGATACCTAAGCAGCTGAGTTAAAATACAAATCATAAGTTCCTCATTCCTACAAATAAGCTCCGGTAGATGTTTCTATGAATTTCCAGGGCCATACCAAAGCGTGCTTGTACACTGCAAGGCAGGAAAACCCAAACCTAATGGAGACAGATCCTGCTGTTCTTCAAACTGCTGGCTATCAGAGATATGTACGCAGGCACCATCTACTAGAAATCATATTTCTAATCTCTGCAAGTAAAAACCTATAACAGATAAGAAAGGGCACCACTATCCAAAGGCTCTCCCTGTAATACGCTAAGGAGAATGTTTACTGCTTTCACTTCTATCCAGTACTTGGTTATATATAGCCGTGCACCACTGTGTGCTAATTCATATTTTGTAATAAAGTTACATTTTGTGTAAGATCTTTTACCTACAGACAATTAATTCCAAAATGAAATATTCCTAATCAAAACCCAAACCTTTTCTACTGACCTTTTTTCTGTCCCAAAGAACACCTGGCCTAGCACTTCTCCAAACAGAGCACTGAGAACCAGTTCTTAGAGAAGAGGAAGATTCAAAGCCTCACTCCACTTCTTGCAAGCTCCTGTGAATTCTGTGCTTTACTTTGTGGCTGAGAAAATCTAATGAGCGGCAAGTTTCAGGTGAAAGTGAAGAATCTGTTCTTCATAAGAGAAGACAGGCAAAGAAAGGTGGATAGCCAAAAAAAAGAAAAGTGAACAAAATATCCCAAGTCAAAAAACAGACAAAAGAACAGACAAACGAAACGTAGTGAGGTGGTGGGCCCTAAGGGTAGACTCACCATACCCCAACAACTATCCCATCTCTTCTTCTTTTTTTTCTTTTCTTCTCTTAAAGAAGGAAGTGAAAACCAAGAAATGAGAAGGGTGAAATAAAGGGGCAAAGATTGGGAAAATAGGATGAGGGCTCCACTGAGGCCTACTACCATATGGTTTTTTTTTTTTTTT